GCCCACCGACTATCCACTGGGGAGCATTTTAGCTTTAGTGGGGGAGAGAGGCATAACTGTTGATCATACTAACAAGCTAAAAAAAAAATAAAAAGAAGTATATATCACCTAAAGTTTTGGGTATTTTCAACATTTACATGTTATTCTAAAACCAGATAAAGAGGAATTGAATAAGCAAGTTTTCAACACAATATTTCCAAAAATGCATCTTTGGTGTAAACATTTCTGAAATTACTGATCATAAGTAGAGTCTAATACATTAGGAGTTTTAGTGACATTTGTAGATCTCTATGCACGGCTCAATCCAAATGAAGTTGGAGACAGAGAAACAGTTTAGTTAATAACCCTAAGGGGGAGACAAACCATCATCTACCAAATCACATTAGGAATCAACATATCAAACTACTGATCCAGTGCAGCAGATTCACCTAAATATAAAACAATTTTAACTGTAGGATTATTTATTATTATTATTATTTGTTTTAATAAAAAAAAGCTTGTATCTGTTAAGTTATTTGAATACATTTTGCCTTATTCACATATCTCATTTCTGGTCTTTTGGCATTATCACTTCAGGTTTGTAGGATAAGACTTTTAAAGAAATAGCATCAATACGTTGGCTTTATTTGTCATTTATTGGTGCATTCACCTAAGCCAATTTGGTAATCTGTCCGTGTCGAACACTTCACATGGTAGAGTAACTTCAGAATATGGCTGCTTATTGCTAACATTCTCTCTGCAAACAACATTTAAAAAAGGATATCAATTCCTTTTTTTTAGTTGTTAGGTCAATTAGCCCTGCTGTGTTCCCAGTCTGCTGACGAATACTGAGATCTAAAGCAGAATAACAAGTTCACCGATACTACTTCTGCTCAAAGTTTTTTTTTGAGTGATTCTACTTGGTGTTACAGCTAAACAATTAGGAACACATGCTTTTCTAAGTGCTGTTTGATTTTTTTTTTTAAGGGAAGTATATTTACACTGATTCTTATCATGGAAAAGAGGAACAGCAGGGCATCTATTCATGAAATGAAATATCAAAATATTGATTTTTTTTAACCTGATATAATTTTTTCTATGAAACAGGTAAAAGTGGGCTAAACAACAACAACAACAAAAAAAAAAAAACTGAAAGTATCACTTAAAGTTTGGGGTATTTTCAACATTTACATGATGTTCTGAAAACACATAAAAAGAAATTTAAAAAGCAAATTTTCAACAAAACATTTCCAAAGAGATGCCACAGTGAAGTATAGAACATTAACTCAAGTAGAATAAACTTAAATAATATTTTTAACACCTTGATTGATATTTTTAACAGCTAACATCAATATATATATTTTTTTTATTGGAATGCCAACAACAGCTTAATTGGTAAAATGTCATTAAAATACTTTGAATGAGCAAAGGAAATGGCTTCCTCTCATTAATGCAGTGCAGGTTTTTAATGCGACAAGGTGAATCTAAAATAGCAATAAAAAGGGTTTGTTTTTTTGTTTTGTTTTAAACTGAAATCTCCTTTTTGGTGCCTTTCAAAATGGGGCAGCACTGATAAGACCACCAGCGCTTTGCAGGGATATCTGATGACACTCAGTCCCCCCACCCCTCTACTACTTATTCTGCTGCCACTGCGGGTGTGAAGGGGGGGTTAGAGTGTTTCATCCATTGTATGCAACATGTTCCTAAGTTATGCCTGAACTGAGAAGAAATGAGATCATCCTTGTTCCCCCATATCTTTTAATTTCGATAAAATTGTACATTTAAAAAGAATGTATTACAAAGGTAGTCATCCTCAGTGAACCTTTTTCAAATTCTGTCCCATTAAAGCTACAAACTAAAACATGGTTTACTAGGAATTGTTGGATGGGCACAAAATAGTGTAGTGCAGGCCTGATGTATATTTTTATTCAGCCCTATTTCTTTCCTCATACTTTTACATGCATTTAAGTGCAACCAGCTGGTCTGGTTAAGAGAGTCCACTAGTGAACAAGTGCGTAATGATTAGAATAGAATAAAATTCAACTTTATTGTCATTGCACTGTCACGAGTACAAAGCAACGAAATGTGGTTTGCATCTATCTAGAAGTGCTATACAGGATATTATATTATTACAGGTGTATGTACAAGCAAAAACTGATAAATAGGGACTGTAAAAAGTTGTTTATAAATATAAATATGAATATGGGAGCTACATGCACAGATTACACAGATTATACAGAATATACAGGAAGGTTAGGAAAAGGATTATATATGTATTAGCTGGTTTATAATACAAGTTAAATAATGGCAGATAAGATTTACAAATTATATACAGATTGTATACAGATAGTGTATGTGTGTGAGGACAGTCCATATGTTATTATTTCTGTCAAATCCAGTGAGATTAAATGAGCCCTTGGGCACTATCAATAAGAACAGATTTTGTTAGAGATAATAATATAAATAGTTTGAATTTTAGAAAAAAACTGTAGGATATTAAAGATGAAGGAAGATGACAAAGTACACAATGAATAAGAGTGGAAAAAGCAACTTATCCAATGCTAGAATTTAACGTTCAAAGATGTGTTAAACCTCTATGGTTTGTGATCATTCTAAAATCTTCATGATAGACTTTGTTAGGAGCATTTTAACACCCTGAGGTGACTTTGATGAACTACACCTCCACAATAAATAAAGGGACAAAAAAGTAACTAACATAACAACATATTCTCATTATGAGTGTGTATGAAGACGTTTTTCCTCAAAAAACCACATCAGTCGAGTGTGCTGGCAGACAGAAAAAAAAGCAGATCCGCGGACGCACGTAAAAATGGGAAAAACAGTGCAATCATCACTTATTCAGGTTTCTAACTATCTTGCTTGCTGTTTTATATCTTAGGGTTAGGGTAAGGGTCAGGGTTAGGGCTAATTGTAATTTATATTCTATATTCGTGAATGGTGCGTCAGATGCGCATGTGCATACGACGAAAAAAACGTCCAAAACGTACAAAATAACTTTTCGTACGATTTCACACGCACTCATAATGAGAATAGGTTGAACATAAACCTCTTTTCTTTGCGTATAAAACAAGACTCAATTAGGAAGAAAAAAACTATTTTTAAGTTGAGTTATCACAGCCTTAATCAGAGAAGCAGCCAAAAGACTTATTGGAGGAGCTGCAGAGATTCACAGCTCAGGACGGGGAGTGTGGTCACAGGACAGTTACTATTTATTGACTCTAAAAAAGCTAGCTTTTAAGGAAGAGTGGGGAAAACAAAGCAGAACACATCCTGTTTCCAGTTTAATGGGCTCAACAGGAAACATGAAAGAGTTGCTCTGATCAAATAAGTCTAAAATTGGTCTTTATGTCTAAGGTGTGAAGTGCTTCATCTGGTTATTAATTTGGCATACTGTAGCATTCTCATGGTGACACATGCAAGTTCTGATTTTCAGATTATTTTCAACAGAAAAACTACAAAACCAGAGATTATTTATTAAGGAGTGTTGGCCTGGTGGGTTAGAGCTGTGTGCTCATGCTCTAAGAAGGTTGTAAGTACCTGGTTCGATCCCCACAGCCTCCACTGTGGGTTCCTGAGCAAAACCCTTAACCCCAAACTGCTCCCCGGCCACCACATAATGGCAGCCCAATGGTCCCCAATGGAAAAATGCAACAAAATTCCCCATTGTGGGACAATCAAGGGATTTACATTGTTTTCCCTCCACTTTAAAGTTCTTCCTGACTTATTGAAGATCTATCCCTGTGATGTTGATATGATAAAATATAAAACATAACTTAAAGGAACATGAATACTTTAAAAAGAGTACACCCTTCTGATTGCAAATATTAGTATCCCTTTTTGTTTATTTTTACAACCTCAATAACATTGAATACAGCTCATCTTTGGGATATAATTATCTGCTGTATAAGATGGTGAGAGATGTGCTGCCCTGTTATCCTGCAGCCTTAGAGGCCAGAGGAAGATTAGAGCTGTGATCTCATTCCCAGCACTTGTTTGGAGTCTGTCAGGAAGAGAAATGCCAGCATTAGAGAGGTACCGCCACACTCCTGATATGATGAAATAAGGAGGAAAGGGGAAAGGGAAAAAGATGGAGGGATGGACAGAAAGGACCATGCCCTTCTCTGAAGTGTCAGTAGCTTGTTTATTCTATTTTTCATTGTAGCTGCTGGGGCAAAGATTCCCATATTTCCTTTATATCCCCCCACCCGCCCATCCACACCCACCCACCTCCTGACAAAAAACACAGCTCTCATTTTTTATAGGTCTTGCAAACCCTCATGCCCTAGTGAAAATTACATTGTGAAACGGTAGAAATCTCCGGGCTGCCTGTGCTCGCCGCTGTCCCTCGGAGCTTTCAAACAGTCAACAGACTGTGAAGAATAAATAATAAAAAACTATTGATTATTTTGATGACTGCAAGATTCAATTAGGTATTAATTTTGCCCTCCAGTGGACCTATCAAGCAACTCAAAGGAGAGGCGGGGGGAGGGGGGGATTGTCCCAAACGCATGCAGAGCGCGGCCAGGCTCAGACAGAGGAGAAAATGTGTTTACGGCGGCGGGCGGAGAGGCGCATCGATGTGCAGCGTCCCACATTTAAGTGCTCCACAAATGAAGCCCTGATGAGTAGTGACATTGTTACCAGGGATATGAGTATTGACCAGTCGGCTCACGGATTTTAATGACAGCTTAAACTACTTCTATTGATTAACATTTTCATAGATTATCATGTGTCATATCAGAAAGGGCAGATTGCCGTGATGGGCACATTAAAAAGGCCCCTCTGGGCAGCAATTCATCGACCATCCTGATTGACGCAGGGGATTGTTGATGTGAGCAAGGGGGGGAATAAGACCCTCACCCTCCTCCTTTTTTTTTTTTTTTATCTGTGCTTATATATACATGCCGGTCACCTGTGCTTTGCTTAGGCACATTTAGGTTGAACCTGATTCATAAATAAGAAAGAGGCCCGTGGTGGTGCTGCTCCACGTCTGCGCCTCTGAGCCTGAGGTGGGGTGAACACTGTCTGAGGAGCTTTCTAGTCAGGAGACACAAGGGGGAAGAGACAGAGGGAGGGAGAGGAAAAAGGGAGGAGGTGACATCTTCAGGGGTTTTCTTTGGAAGTTACCTCAGGCTTGAACGTGTGCTGGTGATTTAGACGCAGAAAGGTTGAAGAAGCTCCTTCTGGTTACGTGGGAGGTACATCCTGACTGCCGGCTTGTTCTGTGGTGGCTCTTGCTTTGAGCTTTCTATAACCTCGTTTTTCTCATTCTCATCTGGAGCTTTGAAAGGTAGGAAAAGTTCTCAGGAGAGCTTTTATTTTTCTTTTTTTTTTTAGGTCATTCTGAAATTAAGTTTGGACTATTTCAAATTTGTATCATGATGTTTGTAAAATACACTTTCCGTTAATAAAGTGTCAGTTTATTTTCCACTTGACTCATTTGTAGATAATCTAATCATTCTGTATTGTTGTTTTCTGATCTGGCAATAAAAATTAAAAACAATTGGCTGATTTTAATTAGGCTTTAAGTATGTATTGCTTTATAATCTGATGCAAGATATCACCTTTGATATAACTTTATGTCCCTAAATATGCACAAATTGTTGTGATCACTGTATTATAGTTCCCTCCTTTTCAGATTTATTTATTTCTCCCTCCATTGTAATTAGTAGGTATCTGTATGCTGAAGATGAGGCACATGTCAGTTAGGGATGTGCTGTCGGAGATGAATGTATCCCAGTTTCAGGACTGTAGTGCGCGATGGTAAAGCCACGAGATCCGTAACAGCTCTTCACCAGGCAGCAGCCGGCAGGATCAGCGGGGTAGCACCAGTCTCGGATAAAAGAGGGAGCCAAGGAGGGGAGGGAGCAGGAGAGAGAGAGGGAGAGTGATGAGTGAGCAATAGGAAGGTGAAGCTTGGGTGGAGAGAAAGAGAGAGTGAGTAGAGACATAGAGAAGGAGTCGCTGAGGGTGAGCTGCTCAGGCAATCTAACCAGGGGCTTTTTCTCTCTTTTTTTCCCCCTCTCCTCCCTGTTTCCCACCTGGTCTCCCAGCTCCCATCAGGATCCGATGATTACAGGGCAGCTGAGCAAGCCGCTGCTCTCCCTGCGCAGCGACATGAGCGCAGCAGAACTCCGGGCAGACGACAAAGCAGCAACCCCAGAAAGCGATTTGAACGACGAACCCCTGCTCCTGCCCTCTGAGGCCACGGACAGAGAGGGCACTCCCAACAAGCTGTATGGTGAGTCCACTTTTATCTCTGTGTTCTCCTCTGCTGCTAACATGCCGGCTTACTTCTGACTGAGGTCCACTTTGAGTGGGAAGGCAGACCTGCAGGAGATGGGACAGGTGGAAGAAACTAAGCGCATGAATGAGTAAGCTGAACTTTCTAAGAGGTTCATCATAAAAGTGCAGAAACTGCTCATTTTACACAATTAAACCCAGAACTTAATATTATAAGGATGGATAAGTTTGTATTAAGCTGGCTACACCCTAAAAAATAATAATAAATGTAGCATTATGTTAATTAGGATTATAATTTTCTAATAGTTTAGTTTTCCTGCCATTGTTAATATTTTGAATCAGCAGATGCGTAAATCTTTAAATAAACATTTTAAACTGACTTTAAAAAGTAATTCTGTGCATCAGAATAATTTCCTTTAAGGCTAGCTTTACAACTTATCAAAGTTATGCTGCATAAAGTCGTTGATTTTTTTTCAATAATAAACAGGAAGATAAACAATTATGACTAAAATGTATATTAAAAAAGTTATAAATTAGTTCTGAACAATTTCCAAATCTCTTCTATAAGTAGATTTAATGTATTCATTAAATAATTAGAGTTTTTATTGTTGTTCTCGAGCAAATATATAATTTTCCTACAAGTTGTCCAGATTAAAAATTGTATAAATAATTACATAATTTCTAAACTCTATATTTGATTTTTTTTTTTTGTTTTATCTGCTGAACTAATTAATTAATCCATTTTGAATATGTGTTGAAATATTCTCTTTTTCATTAATTAGTCATGTGGATTGATTCAACCCTGTTATGAATCAATAAACCTAATGAATAAATTAATTATTTTGAAGATCTAATTACATTTTTAATAAAACACATTTAAAACCTCAGGCCTCTTTTTCTGTAACATTCACAAGAAATAAAACCAGACCAATGAAATGTATTGGTTCTTTTTATTAATATATAACTAATATGTGCTGAAGAGGAAAATCTATTGTTTTCCTTCTTATAACAAGAACATGTTAACCATTCTCATGTGAGATTTTATTTTATCGATGTCAGATTATTTTGAAAAGAGAGTAATTGTCAAATAGAAATGCTTGGAAAAGAAACCTAAAGCAGTTATAGAGCTCTAATGTTTTAAAATTATTTTCTTAATTGCCTTATATTATGTTGCTATGGATAATAATTGACAAGGGAAAAGAGCCTTTAAACAGCTTTTCCACAATACAATTCTGCAAAATAAAATGCCCATTTTATTTCCCGATTGGAAGTTGTGCACATCCCTGCTCATTAACTGGTGTAAATGTGTTCTTATAATGTGTCAATCTGGGTTTGGGGATGGGATTAATAATGGGTGTTTATTCTGAATTTACACCACAGTAAATGGTGTGGGTTTTTTATGGTTTGTCAGGATTTATTGAAAGTTGTTGAAAAGACTCAGTCTCTGACTGTGTGTCTGGGTGTGTGTCTGGGTGTGTGTGTGTGTGGCTGTTTATGTTGTGTGGAAACTGGCAGAAAGTATACCAGAGTTTCTTTGGATTAAGCTTGCCATATATTGGAGCCTGAAAAATAAACAAAAAATTTGGGAGCAGTAGAAACAAATATCCCTCTAACTAATAGCTCAGAGTTTAGCACTCAGTTATATTTCCCAAATAACTCCAGGCTAGTCCTCTAAACAAGGACTGCACGCTGCAGGATTTGTCTTGAATGTATTGCAATTTGCTTTAATAATCATCAAGTCGTTTCTTTCTGTTTGATCAGCTTTTATCTGACTCTTTTACTTTTACTTTGTTTCTATTTTGCTTTCCTCTTTCAGATAAGTTGATACCTTTAGATGCTTAATCCTACTATTTCTGAGAAATTAATTGGAATATTTTAAGCAGAAATACCTGTGAAACTTTTGCATAAACAGCCAGTTGGGTGTTTGACTCTACTCTGTCTAAATGTGGCTATTTTGAGCCACTACCATTTCTGCACGCTGTGAGCTTTGTGGGATGGTTGCCCCTGCCCAGTGGTAGAGCCTTGGGCTGTGCCAGCAGCAGCTATGGTTTTAGAGCTGTCGCACAGATGACTTGTGAGGAAGTAGCAGGGAAATCTTGCAAGGTTGTGTCCTCTGCTGGCAGGCTTGAAGAGTGGAAAAGAGAGGGGCATTGAAGAGGAGAAACTCGATATCTCTTTGTGTAAAAGATCTAAAATTTAGAAGAAACCTGAATTGATCATTTTAGGAGGAAGTTATTTTTTTCTTGTTTTCTATAAGTTTTGGTGTGTGTCGGGTTTAACATTTTGACACTTTTCTTTAAATTCTGATTGATAGCATCAGCTGTTAGTTAAGTCCATGAAGCTTTTCTTAGATATCAAAATGTAAAAAAAAATTGCTTAATACTATAGAAACAGAGTGATTCTTTAGATGTTCTTTAAACTTAAGTAAAAAATTAAAGGTTTTTTTCATCTCTGAAAATCTATATAGGCTAAAACTCAGGAAAGGATTTGAAAAGGGTTATATTTTTATTTATGGTTTTGGTTTCTTATGTAGTTCTGTGTGCCTGAATTGTTGAATTAAGAACGCAGAACTGTTCCGGTATTAACATGAAGGGCATGGATACTGAAAATAAAATCAGCGAATTTAAACCAGACTTTAGGTTTTTTTCATGGTTCTTTTTATGTGGCTTTGAGCAGAGTATATGCCACAATATTTACAGTTTTGTTCTTTTCTTGGACCGGGGTAAAGAATCAACAGATGATTCTACACTTTGATTTGCCACATTGTTCGCATGAAAATATTTGATTCCGATGGAGCGCTCCAGTTTCACGCTTGACAGACAATCTACCCAGCTCTTCGGGACCTCCACAACAAAGTTCAGAAGGTAACCAGCTAAAAAAAAAAAAAAAAACTGCCTAAATGTGTGTAAATTCTATCAGCTTTGAAAGACAGTCATGTCAGTCCTGCAGTACCTCAGCTGTCGGCATGAAATAAAATTAAATCAATAAATTTCTGAATGTTTTTCTTTAATTACTGTCAGTGCTTGTAGTCACTTGTAATATATCACACCGCTTTCAAAAGAAAAGTAAAAATTAGATTCTGTATTTTCAATCTTAATAAGCTTTAAAATGAAGTTGGAGCAGGAGGGGAGGCAGCAGTACATTTACCTCTCTTAAGGGGGTAAATTAAAACCCATATGAGAGACCTTTGCTGTTCTTCCTCTTTGCAGAAGCACTGAAAATAAAGTCATAATTTGCTGTGCTTAATAATTACAGGATATTGTAGAAAATAAATTGTCTATATCCCCTTAAACGTCTATTTTTAAAGTGAAAATGTTTACATCAAACTGGGCACCATCAAGTAGTCTGATGCATTTTCCTAAATTGTGATATTTTAACTGACTCAGCAGCTATGTTTTGTTTACTATTGTGCGTTACAGTTTCAGAAACCTCAGACTATGCCATCGACATTTAGAGAACATCAGTGGTTATAAATTCTTCTGTTAGCTTCTTAGCTAGGGCTAGAGCAGATTTTATTTTATTTTTTCAACAAAAGTACGTTTGAGTTACCAAAAATAAGATTTTTTTAAAAAGCAAACAGTTCTAGTCAGATTTTTCAGCTACTTTCGTGTACAACTCTGCCTTTAAAAGTGCTACAAACAATTATTGAGTGATGTTCCCTGCTGCATTTTCACCTTACAACCATTTTTTCCCCAGCTTTATCATTATTACATTCTCACAAGTACAGAGCAACGAAATGAACTCTCTGCATTTAACCCATCCCCTTGGGGAGAAGTGGGCTGCCATAGTTTGGTGCCCGGGGAGCCCTAAGCACTAGGCCACCTCCGAACTAGGTTGACACTCCCCATTGTATTTCCAATGTATATACAACTTACTACTGAAAAATAATAATCAGTTTTACAGTTATTCCGACATTTGTAAGGTTTGCTTTGAAAAGGGATGCAAACAGAGTCCATATAGCAGCAAATTTGACCTTTTAGCAGAATACATATCTACTAAATGTCAGTTAAGTCCTTATTATCCAACCCAACCTCTGAACAGGGTAAATCCTTTATCAAAGAACATTTGCATGAAATCTAATGCCAAAAACAGATCTGATATGATATTTTAGCTCTCACAGGTTTGAAAGTGTTTTAGGCTACTTTTCATATAGTTGAGACACGTACACCGTTACAGTTTTTAAGACTATCACTCTTTATTCTTAGAACATAAAAATGAGTGGCCGCATTGGAAAAATATCATAATGTTGTTTTAAAAGGTTTGTATTTTGACCTTATCTTTTTTACCTCTGTGCCAGGGAGGGGATCACAGGACGGCTGTTCTGCTTTTTGAATATCCGTCTTCTTATCATAATGCATGCATGTGTCAGCATGCACTTTTTTTAACTGATATATGCAGTCAAGACGAAACGTATTAATTTTACAAGAATATTTCCTTCAACTGGAAGTAATATTAGGGTCAAAAACCCTTACTTGGACCTTTTAAACAATCCAATCCAAGGGGAGGAGAGAAGTGAAGATTAGGGTGATGTTAAGTAGATCTTCTGACCTTAAAATAAACCTTCAAAATCCCAGTTAAAACAAAAAAGCAAATTAGCAAGTATAAAAATGTTTTTAATTCCTTAATGCCAATTAAATTACCCCACCAATTAATGACAAAATCATTTATTTGTCTTTTTACATTTTTAAGTCCATGAAATTATTTTGAATCTAAAAAAAGTATATTTACATAATAATTATTTATTACATCTTTTTATAAGTGGCTTTTGTTTGGTCAGATGAAAAGCTGCTGGAAAGATGGTGATATTAGATCCCAACTAAGTAAACATCGGCATACCTTTTTTCCCCCATTAAAGTTTTTTTTTATTTGTTCACATTTACAGCTTTTAGAGAATACAGTAAGTGTCTGAGACTCGCCTCTGTGCAATCAGACCTTCAAAACTTGTGTGTCAGGAACTCGTTTTAAATCAAAACTAAAATTATTTGTGATAAACCTGCC